GTTATTCTTTTGTGAAAGCCAAATCTTCCTATTACTTCTATCTCGGTGAATTTGCATCCCTAGAATCTTGTTTGCTGATCCCAAGTCCTTCATTTCAAATTCCCTAGCCAGTTGTGCCTTCAATTCTTCAATATGATATTTGTTGGGTACTGCAACCAACATGTCATCCACATACAACAGCAATATAACAAAATCGTTATCACCAAACCTCTTGAAATAAGCACAAGAATCTCCATTAAGTCTGGTGTATCCAAGACACATAATGAAGGAATCAAATCTCTTATACCAACACCTTGGCGCCTGCTTTTGACCGTACAGAGATTTGTTCAACCTGCAAACCAAGTTCTTCTTTTCGTCTTCTTTAAAACCTTCAGGTTGCAGTATATAAATCTCTTCTTCAAGATTTCCATGAGGAAAAGTTATTTTAACATCTAGTTGCTCTAGATGTAAGTTCAATGTATCACACATTTCCAAAACTACTCGAACTGTTGTTAGTCGAACCATAGGAGAAAAGATTTCGTTGAAATCAATACCTTCTTTTTTAGCATATCCTTTGACCACCAGTCTTGCACGATACCTCTCAACTTGATCGTCACCATTTCACTTGATTTTGAAGATCCATTTGTTACCAATTGGCTTTCTTCCTTGTGGTAGTGGCACAAGGTCCCATGTATTATTTTTATGAAGGGTTTCAATTTCTTCTTGCATCGTCATCATCCAAAGTGGAGCATCTGAGCTGTTTATTGCCTCTTGGAATGTTGATGGCTCACCGTCCTCTGTTAAAAGGCAGTATGCAATATTTCCTTCTATAACATAATCTGAATGCCAATTGGGACGTCTTCTCACACGATCTAATTGACGAGCTGTTGGAGCTTCAGAACTCTCTGGTTCTTGTTCATCATATATTGGTTCTGTATCAGAAGAATCTCCTTGTTCAAACTCCTTTTCCACATGTATTGTGTAGTCTCTGACTTTTCAGCGCTATCATCTTCTTTTCTTTGTAGTTTATCATCTATAAAGATAACATCCCTGCTGATGATGACTTTGCGGGTAGTGAGATCCCACAAGCGATACCCCTTTACACCATTAGCATACCCCAAGAATTTACATTTCCTGGATTTTGGATCAAACTTTGAAATTTCTTGGGAGTTGTACAGCACTTACACAATACTTCCAAATACATGGAGGTTTGAATAATCAACTGGTTTACCAGTCCACATCTCCATTGGTGTCTTTCGCTCTATTGCAGTTGATGGAGCTCGATTCACCAAATAAAAGGCCGTATTGATGGCTTCTGCCCAAAATGATTTTTCTAGGCCTACAGCTCTCAACATTGCTCTTGTTCTTTCTAACAAGGTTTTGTTCATCCGCTCTGCCACTCCATTTTGTTGAGGAGTGTTTACCATTGTGAACTATCTTTTGATGCATTCCTTCTTGAAAAAGTCATCAATTTCTTCACTTGTGTATTCTCCTTCATTATCTGTTCGGAAACACTTGATCTTATTTCCAGAATCAAGTTCCACCCATGCTTTGAAGTTTTTGAAAGTTGAAAATACATCTGACTTCTTCTTAATAGGGTACACCCAACATCTCCTGGAGTAGTCATCAATAAATAAGACAAAATATTTTTCTCTGCCTAGGGATGTAGCTGGTGCTTGTTATACGTCAAATGAGCCAATTCTAGAACATTTTTCCTCTAGAAATTGACGTGTTGAATTTTAACCGGTGATGCTTACTTGTTATGCAATCCTCACACAAAGTAAGTGATATTTTTGTTAAGCCTGGAAGTAGTTTTTGCTCTACAAGGACTTTCATTCTTTGTTCTGACATGTGTCCAAGTTTCTGATGCAATAGTATTGCAGAATCTGAACTACATTAGACAATAGAGGCTTCTGCTTATAGCAAAGTCTCTCCCTTCAGCGTGTACAAGTTTGTTGTTATCTTTTCTCCTTTCATCACCACAAGTGCTCCACAGAACACCTTCATGATTCCTTTCCGTGTTTTAATCTTGCTTGCATTATTATCCAACATTTTGTAGGATAATAAATTTTTCTTCAGGCCTTTCATGTGCCGTACATCTCGAACAACTTTAATTGTTCCATTATACATCTTCAATTTGATGGTTCTCACGCCAATGATCTCTAAGGCATGATCATTGCAACTATACACAGATCCTCCTGAGACAGGTTCAAAATGATGGAACCATTCTCTTCTTGAGGTCATGTGATATGTTGCTCCTGAATCAATGAGCCATATATCTGTAAATCATTTCTGCCTTCCAGGTGGTTGACGCTTCACACCATAGAACATCTCCATCATCTGAAGTGTTTGCAGTATTGCCTTGTGGATTGTAGTTTTTATTTAGACTCCAACAATCATTCTTCAAGTGACCCTTCTTTCCACAGTTGTAGCACTTTAAATTCTTCTTGCTTCTCGACTTTGATCTACCATGTTTGTGACTGCTGCTTTGGCCACGTTTCGTTGATCTCCCTCTCGTCGTTGTCAACGCTTCTGCTTGTTGCAGATTTACTTGTCTGTCTTCCTTGTCATTGCGCAGATTTTCTTCTTGTAGAACAGCAGCTGCAACGTCATCGAAAACTAGACTTGTGACATTACTGTTTGTCAAGTTGATAATGAGTTGATCATACGAATCAGGTAGACTTTGAAGTAGAAGTTCAGCACGTTCTTGTTCTCGTATTGTACATCTTAAGGATGTAAGCTGAGAAAATAAAGTGTTCAATGTGTTTAAGTGCTCCGTCACTGAAGTAGATTTTGGCATCCGGAGAGTGTACAATTTCTTCTTAAGGAAAATTATATTGTGCAACGATGTGGCCTCGTACAGTTTTGTGAGATGATCTCATATCTCCTTAGCTATCTTCTTCTCCTCGATGCTTGACAATACTTCATCTGCTAATGCTAGATAAAAGTTTGCCATAGCATTCTCATCCATTTCGATCCATTTGTTGTCATGTGTGAAATCTATCGGCCTTTCACTGATAGTCGCTAGACAACCGTCTTTCCTCAGGATAACATTCATCTTCAATTTCCACAATGAGAAATTTCTCCCATTGAACTTTTCAATATCAAATTTTGTTATCATAGTTTCTTTTACGGATAGCTCCCACTATTTCACTATCGTGAATAGTTCTCTGGAACCTTCAAAGAATGAGTAATAACTTCTTACTTTCTTATGTTAGATGATCCACCTTTTGGTGACAACCACAAAGACAATAAGTAGATATTACACATTCAAATTTGGCTCTGATACCAATTGTTGCGGAATACGGCTATCGGATAGAGCAAAATTTGAGGAAAAAAAAAAATAAATATATACAAATTACGGGAAAACCCCTAAATAATATAGGGTAAAAACTACGGGCAACGGTAGAAAAATTTCACTATGAGAAAATAGGAATTACAACTTCTCTCGATCTAACAAGGAGAAAACAATGACAATTCTCTCTTGATAAAAAAGAGAAAACAACTCTCAAGAAAACTCTCTAAATTCTCTAGTATTGGGAGAAAACTATAATGATTTGGGATGATTTTGAAGCTAAATGGATTAGGGTATTTATAGTTGAAGCTTAAGACTAATCTTGTAAATACCCTAAAGTATAATGACTAAATGTGTAATTTTACCATTGCCAAAAAATCAACAATTGCTAGCTACTTTTCGGTGCCATTAAGTGTGCCCTTTCGGTGCCCCCAAATTGGACAATTAACTTGGACTTTCAACACTTCTTTCTTATGCCAAGGAACCAAAAAGAATGGGAAAAAAGCTATTCTTCCTACTTGTCTTAAACATGCATTTGTTGTAATTGATTTGCATGGATGGGTTACAAATGGTAATCAACTTTATCATTATCAAAGTGAATTTGCTTTGTTGACATGATTCTGTCATTCGAAATGACTAGGAAGAGGAAGAGGTAGAGGCGGTTATACACTTGAGGCCTTAAGAGGTCGCTTTGGTTCTCGTAACTTGGGTAGAGGAAACAATCAAGAATCCGGCGACTACAGATCAAGAGGCAAAGGTTTCTATCAGCGAGGTTCTAGATGAATATGTATATATATTTAGAAATTTTTGAATATGTATGTGTTTGGAGATTGTAACAAACCTTCAGAAGCAATTCCATTCTATAAAAAAAATTATTGTTATGTATTTCAAATTTGTTGTTATGGATGTCAACTTTATTGGATAATGCCACAGGTTATAATTTTAAATTTGGGTAACAAAAAGAGTAAAAAATAACATTTGAAAAATTAGTTTTAATTCGCAGCTTTTGTATAAAAAAGCCACTAAATACATAGTCAATACCGGCATTTTTGAAAAACGCCACTAAAGTTCTAGATTGTTTGCAGCATTTATACATAAAACACCACTATATACCTAGTCAATAGCGGCGTTTTACATTCACAAACGCCACTATATGACAACATTTAGAGGCATTTTTGGAACAAACGCCGCTATATGTCAGAACATTTAGCGACGTTTTTAGGAAAAAAATGTCGCTAAAACATAACCTTTAGGGCCATTTTGAACGACAAACACTGAAACCTTTGCGGTGTTTGTTTCAGCGGCGCATTTTGCGGCGTTTGTTTTTGTGCCACAAAGGTTTTTAGTGACGCTTAAAAATGCCGCTATATGACTTAAAAAACGCGCTAAAAACCTGTTTTGCTGTAGTGACCCATTCCAAAGGAGTTTGGGAATCTCAAGGAGCTCTATGTGCTGTAAGACTTGTAAGAATGTGTATTTTCTTTTTCATGTTTCTCAAAGATAATATAAGTGGATCAATGTCATGCAGGTCCATAAGTAATAATAACTTATCTGGAACCCTGCCTCCAGAGCTTGGTAATTTAGTTTACCTCCAACAACTGTAAGTTTTAATTCTTATTTCCTTTTGTTTTCTCTTAGGGGACTGTGTTTAAAGATTATATATAATGTGAAATTATAAGAAAGATGGTTGGTTCGTAAATTTGGCAGGTACATTAACAGTTGCGGATTGGGCGGTCAGATTCCCTCTACATTTGCTAACCTTGTAAACGTCCAAATTATGTAAGAAACACACTTCTCTATTGCCTTCTTTTTGTAAATTCTTCTATATTTTTTATTGATAATTTGTCTTTGTTTTCTAAAATTTTATACATTCGTTCCTAACAAAAAATATTGTGTACGTTCTTGATTGTAACAATCAATAACCTTTTTTGAATTTCAGGAGGGGACTTGACAATGCATTCAGAGGTGGGCCTGCAAATTGCCTTCATTAACTTAACTCCTTGCTGCTATGATGAATTTCAGGTGGGCATCTGATACTGCACTCACAGGGAAAATACCAGACTTTGTTGGTAACTGGACAAAGCTTACATCAGTGTAATTCATCAATACATATTGGTTATATTCTTCATAGAAGCTCTCACTGAATCAGGTATCAGGAAGGTTAGCTTTACCTTGATTTTTTATCAGTTTGACTAATCTGCCAAATGTTTACACAGGAGATTTGAAGGGAACTCTTTTGAAGGTCCGATACCATCCAGTCTTGCAAATTTAGCCTCATTGACTTCTTTGTAAGTAGAGATATCTTGCTTTCCTGATAGTATACTCCCCACCGCCATTTAACTCTCTCCCTTTGTTTGTGTATTCACGCATGCTCCTTGTATGTACGCATTTATGCACGCATGTGCCTATGTGTATATAACATGAACTTGTTTATTTATGCTCGTATATCATTTAGGAGAATTGGTGGTATATAAATGGGAGTTCCTCTCTTGATTTTGTAAGAAGTCTAAAAACTTGACTAACTTGTGAGTTAACCATACACTTTACATTCTTGTATTCATATGCTTTCTTTCTGGGGAAAAAGATGAAATGTTTTTTCTAATTTATGGAATAAATACATTCATTTTTCCTTTCTTTTCATTTCCTATAGGGTTCTAAGAAATGTCATGCTCACTTTTACTTTGCCATCTTATATCACAGAATTACAATCAATCTTTACAAAAGCTGTAAGTTTTATCGAAAAGTTAACAGCTTCACTGATTCCTGATATGCACTTGTTCATGTTTCTAATTTCTTTTTGTTCCAGGGATTTGAGTTTCAACAACTTAACAGACCAAATTCCAAGCTCTTTGTTCATTATGAATTCTCTCATATAGTTGTAACCAACCGAAAAATCAAAAACCGTCTCCTTCACTTGTTGAAAATATGAGCTTAGGACTTGCAGTTTTCATTTGATACTACTCATCTCTTTTATGCTATTGAAATGTTCAGGTTTCTTGGAAATAACATTCTATCTGGTTCCATTCCCAGCCAAAAGAGTGAAAATCTTCAGACTATTTAATTCATTCTATCACACCAACTTGTTTCGTATAACATTACTCGTTACTCGCTTTCTGCTAATAGCCTTCCATATGCAGAGATTTATCATACAATTTACTATCCGGAAACTTGCCTTCTTAGGTAAACTCAAGCTTACAATTGTATGTATCTAAAACCATGATACTTCCTTTACTTACCTTTGCTTTCTAATTTCACTGGTGTGGCTTAAAGGTTTTTTGTTGCTCAAATTGAGCTTACTTTCTTATAGTTGATACTTGATATCACACTATAAAAGAAGAATCGACTGAACTCAATACGACTTTGTTTCGTTGAATTTTATGTAGGAACCTTGAGGCCAACAACTTCACACTTACCAGCTCAAACCTAAGGTGAGTTATCGTCCCTCAACAGCTAATTTTCGCTTCTCCTAAACTTTCTTGAAAGAATTCTTTTGACCTCTATGGAAAGAAATGTAGCTATATATTATCTCTGGTATGCAATACATTCTTTTAAAGTTCCTAATCAAGAAATTGTTTTGAAATTCCTCAGGCTTTTACCTGGATTAGAATGCCTTCAAAGAAGCTTCCCATGCAATAGAAATGCTCCACGATGTACTAACTAAAACTTTCGAACCAGTAATTTTTTTTATTTTGCTTGAACAAAAAGAAATTTTATTAATTAAGAAGACAATGCATAAAGACACTAGAAACAGGAACCAGTGCTCAATCATTGATTGATTGATGCTTAATACTTTGCTAACATATTTCAATGTCGACATTGGAAGTTGCAAACTTCTCAATCAAGTGTGGTGGACCAAAGATGACATCTAACGGATATTATTCGAGGCTGATAATAGCACTCTTGGCGCAGCAAAGTTTCTTGTAACAGTACTCAGAAATGGGCAGTTAGCAATGCAGGCTTGTTTGCAGATAGACAGAATCAACAGTATGTTCAAAACACCGGAGCACAAGTCAGAGGTACCAACACGCCGCAGATTGTTCAGACTTCGAGGCTATCCCCTGGATCACTTAGATACTATGGCTTAGATCTCGAGAATGGACTCTATACTGTATACTTGTTCTTCGCAGAAACAGGTTTCACAGACCGAACCTCGCAGTCTTGGACTAGTCGAGAAGTCGTGTTTTTGATTTTTTTTATAATCAGGTACTATTTCATTTGAAGTAAGAATCCATAAAATTTTAAATTGTATATCATAAAACTCATTTACCCTGTCTGGGGGTGTTTCTATTGTCACAATCCCGTTCACATAATGTACGAACACTTGATGCTATAATATCTCATTGATGTTTCTGTTGCGGAAGACGGCTATCGGATAAAGCAAAATCGTAACTGATAATTTGAGAAAATAAAAATGAAGATAAAAGAGACACAAATTTTTACGTGGAAAACCCCTAAATAATATAGGGTAAAAACCACGGGCAACGGTAGAAGAATTTCACTACGAGAAAAATAGGAATTACAACCTCTCTCGATCTACCAAGGAGAAAACAATGATAATTCTCTCTTGATAAAAAGGAGAAAACAACTTTCAAGAAACTCTCTAAATTCTCTCTAGTATTGGAAGAAAGCTAGAATGCTTTGGGATGGTTTTGAAGCTAAATGAACTAGGGTATTTATAGTTGAAGCTTTAAGGACTAATTTGTAAATACCTTAAATTACAATGACTAATTGCATAGTTTTATCATCCAAAATTTTCAACAATTTGGTGGTCATCAAATTTGACCAATTTTGCCACCCCATTAATGCCACCAAATTGCCACCCATAATGTTGACAATTGATGTAATTTGGTGTGTCAATTTTCAACAATCTCCCACTTGAAGATTTGATTGGAACAATCATATCTTCACACCATTCTTTCTACCTTGTACCTTTCATGTTGCTTACGTTTCTGACAGGCCACAGGAGGATCGACACCAGGTAAATTTATCAGCATTGATTGCCTTCGTCATGAATTCTGCTATGTTGTCTTTGGTATGGATCTTCTGCATATCTACCGTTCCTTCTTCCACCTTTTCACGAATGAAATGGTACTGAACTCGTATGTGCTTAGTCCTTGAATGAAATGTTGGATTCCTTGCTAGATGCAAGGCGCTTTGACTGTCACAAAACAGAGAGACATACTCTTGATTGTGCCCAAGCTCCTCCAATAGCATCTTCAACCAAATTGCTTCTTTACTGGCTTGTGTAGCTGCTACATATTCTACCTCTGTTGTGGACGTAGCCACAACTGACTGCAATTTTGAAACCCAGCTTACAGCTCCACCAGCAACTTTGAACACATATCCTGTAGTAGATTTGCTTTTATCCAAATCCTCTGCATAGTCAGAATCTACATACCCATTGATTAGTAATTTTGATCCTCCGTAGCATAATGCAACATTTGAGGTCCCTTTGATGTATTTTAGGATCCTCTTTACAATATTCCAATGCTCTTTGCCTGGATTCGCCATGTACCGACTAATCACTCCCACTGCTTGTGCAATGTCTGGTCTTGTGCATATCATAGCGAACATTAAACTTCCCACTGCTGATGCATACGGTACTCGAGACATCTTCATCCTCTCTTCTTCACTGCTAGGACTCATACTGGAGGATAATTTGAAGTTAATAGGAAGAGGGATAGAAATTGGCTTACAATCTTGCATGTTAAATCGTGACAAGATTTTCTTCAAGTAATTCTTTTGTAAAAGCCAAATCTTCCTATTACTTCTGTCTCGGTGAATTTGCATCCCTAGAATCTTGTTTGCTGATCCCAAGTCCTTCATTTCAAATTCCCTAGCCAGTTGTGCCTTCAATTCTTCAATATGATCTTTGTTGGGTCCTGTAACCAACATGTCATCCACATACAACAGCAATATAACAAAATCGTTATCACCAGACCTCTTGAAATAAGAACAAGGGTCTGGATTAAGTCTTTTGTATCCAAGGCACATAATGAAGAATCAAATCTCTTATACCAACACCTCAGCGCCTGCTTTAGACCGTACAGAGATTTGTTCAACTTGCAAACCAAGTTCTTCTTTTCGTCTTCTTCAAAACCTTCAGGCTGGAGCATATAAATCTCTTCTTCAAGATTTCCATGAAGAAAAGTTTGTTTTAACATCTAGCTGTTCCAAATGTAAATTCAATGTAGCACACATTGCTAAGACTACTCGAACTGTTGTTAGTCGAACCACAGGAGAAAAAATTTCATTGAAATCAATACCTTCTTTCTGAGCATATCCTTTGACCACCAGTCTTGCACGATACCTCTCCACTTGATCGTCACCATTTCGCTTGATTTTGAAAACCCATTTGTTACCAATTGGCTTCCTTCCTTGTGGTAGTGGCACAAGGTCCCATGTATTATTTTTATGAAGGGCTTCGATTTCTTCTTGCATCGCCATCATCCACAGTGAAGCATCTGAGCTGTTTATTGCCTCCTAGTATGTTGATGGCTCACCGTCCTCTGTTAAAAGGCAGTATGCAATATTACCTTCTATAACATAATCTGAGTGCCAATTGGGACGTCTTCTCACACGATCTGATTGACGAGTTGTTGGAGCTTCAGAACTCTCTGGTTCTTGTTCATCATGTGATGGTTCTGCTTCAGAAGAATCTCCTTCTTCAAACTCTTTTTCCACATGTATCTGAGTAGTCTCTGACTTTTCAGCGCTATCATCGTCTTCTTTTCTTTGTAGTTTATCTTCTACAAAGATAACATCCCTGCTAATGATCACTTTGCGGGCAGTGGGATCCCACAAGAGATACCCCTTTACTCCATCAGCATACCCTAAGAATTTGCCTTTCCTGAATTTTGGATCCAGCTTTGAAATTTCTTGGGCGTTGTACATCATGTACACAATACTTCCAAATACACGGAGGTTTGAATAATCAACTGGTTTACCAGTCCACATCTCCATTGGTGTCTTCAGCTCTATTGCAGTTGATGGAGCTCGATTCACCAAATAACAGGCGGTATTGACTGCTTCTGCCCAGAATGATTTTTCTAGGCTTGTGTCCCTCAACATTGCTCTTGTTCTTTCTAACAAGGTTTTGTTCATCCGCTCTGCCACTCCATTTTTGTTGAGGAGTGTTCGCCACTTTGAACTGTCTTTTGATGCCTTCTTTCTTGCAAAAGTCATCAAATTCTTCGCTTGTGTATTCTCCTCTATTATCTGTTCTGAAACACTTGATCTTATTTCCAGAATCAAGTTCCACCCGCGCTTTGAAGTTTTTGAAAGTTGAAAACACGTCTGACTTCTTCTTAATAGGGTGCACTCTCAACATCTCCTGGAGTAGTCATCAATAAATGAGACAAAGTA